TCATTTCATTGTGGACAACTATTAGGTAAGTAAGGCATAGTTTCCCCTTCATAAATCTGTGCTAAATATGTCCCCATCATCTTCTTGTCCTTCTTGTGCCTAGAAATATTGTCCAGAAGAAATTTTCTTAATCACACACCTAGGCAGGGATTAAGGCAAGGCTGACTAGCCTGAGTCCTCCTTCTTTCCCTTCCTAAATTGACATTTGATTTCTTCCAATCTTTCAGTTCCCAAACCCCCTTCAATTGCCATGACATTCCAAAGATAACCAAGAGTGGCATCATAATGAAATTTACCAGCTCCCTCATCGGGACTCATGTAAATATATCAGGCCCCATGGACTTACCTATGTACAATTTGTTTAAGTGCTCCCTAAACTGTTCTTCCTCTACCTTCTTCAGTATAGCTTTGATCCTGATTTTCTCACTTGTCTCAAGGAGCTGGGTTTGCTAAAAGCTGGACTAACAAGTGCAAACCAAGGTGAAGACCACATTGCATACCTAAGCCTTTTCCAAGTCCTTTGTCACTGGGTCTCTCACCCCTTTTGGGAGCTGGCCTACATTTTCCTTTTTCTGCTTATCTATCTATAGAACCCATTCTTGTTGCTGTTCATATCCCCGTCACATTCAACTCTTGGTGGACAATTCCCACTATCCCTGCATGGTGGAACTGTGTCTTTATATTCCTTCTATGAAGGAATCTTCACCCTATTTCCCCTTCTTGTATTTTTCCTTTTTATATTTAGGTTTTACCAGGAGCTTGTTGCTTTTCCATGCAGGTCTCCTGCCACTTGATTGATTTCCTGCTCATCAAGATATACCATTCTTGAGCTTGTAGGAGGTGGTCCTTGGAAATTACCTGGCTCTACTGAAACAGTCTTCTCTGCAATACCATATCACATAGGAATCTTCCAAGAAAATGCTTGGGCAGGTCATAATGATGTAAAATTCTCCACAGTGATTTTCTTGACAGCCTCCGGATATGAATTCCTATGTTATTTCAGAAGAAAATAATCCTTGCCTGCACCCCAGTGAATAGCATACAGAAATGAGCATTGTTTGGTGGAGAGAGGTTGAAGTTTTGTATAAACTCTGCATACCACGTTACTATTTCTATCCCACCACCCCCAGCACTATATTAATCCCTAAGAACAGCAATGTTGGGGAAATTTCATCCATAATAGTTACACCAAACTGTGATTAAATTAAGCAAATAAGTATAAATGTATTTGCATTTACTGGACAAATTATTAATTTATATTAGATTATTTTCCTTCACTAGATAACATGTATCATCATTTTTTTTTTCCAACACAGTATATTCAGTGTCCTGTTTGACAATGATCCATGGATGTAGGCTTGATTTAGGCAGTTTAATGTGCAATATGAATTTAGATATGTAACTGTTACTCCTTATTACCCATTGACATGGGCTAGTGGAAAAAAAATAATAAAATACATAGTGAAAAAGAATGGAGTCAGACACTGATCTATATTTATCACGATTGCTATGCAATAACACAGATTAACATGCTACCAACTGCTGACATGTTATTCAAGAAGAACTGGGAATTCAAAAACTATAAATGGACATATAAGACTTTTAAAACCCCACATAAACATTGCTTATGTTCCAGAAGAATAACACAGGTTATACATATGGTAGGAGTCAATGGTTGCCAGACATTGTGGAGGAGAATTGTTACACATCCATCTCATTTGGACACATAATGGAAAGAAATCATTAACATGTTTTATATGTTCATTTGTTAAGGATAATTAACATTTATTCTTTTTTTTTTTTTTTTTTTTTCTCCTGGGAAGAAACATAAATTTAAGATATGTGAGCACTAGGACATGACATTGTCAGAATAAATGACTCCACCAAGGGAGTTTTTCAAGCCCAAATGGCAGAATAAGGTATCTCAGAGGCTAATTGAACAATTATAGAAGTACTTAAATCTCTGTATCAAGCCTGTCGAGCAAAGATATGCTATTGGAAATTATCTTCAAGTGGCTTAGCTTTGGAGATGAGATGTCTGGGACAGGGTTGCAGACTGGTGTTTTCTTAAAAAGTTGCAATTGTCAGAGAGGGGGTAAATGAAGCAGAACTTTGCCAAATTCAGCTAAGCAAGGCAGCTTCTCCTTCCCATGCAATCAACCTTAGAGTTTGATTGCAGGTGTTTTACAGTTTGCCAGCCCTCCCATTCACACAACAGTTGGTCCAAGTGCTGTGTGAGCTTCCCAGAAATGTGTTTTTGTGGATAAATATGTACTTACATATTGTCTTTGCTAAAAGTGAATTCCTGCTATAAAAAATTAATGGCATATGTTGTATTATTCATTAAGAAAAAGATTTGCCTGGCAATTGTTTCTTTTTAAGTAGGTGATCCATAATGTAAAGAAAACGTCATAAGAATCTAATGGCTGCACAGTCTGATCAAACATTGTTTGGTTTCATAGTTGTATGTTGATTTTTGGTCATGTATTGCCTATTACTTGCATTTTGCATGATTACTTGAGGGAAGAGGCCAACATTTATACTGTGTTACATCTTTATACAATATTATTTTATCTTTTGGCTTAAATTATATATGTATATCATGCATTATCATGCACAAGCTGGAAACATTTTAAATTCTTGAACATCTCAGACACATCTCTAGAGTTTACACATTAGAAATGACATGCTCCCACAGAAAAATACTTACATAGACACCTGAATTTGTCTGTTATTATGTAAGAAAACAAACAAACAAACAAAATAAACACAATCAACCAACCAAAAACACTGTATAGGTGAAAGACTGAAAGACTGTAGTTATGTAATTTTGGAAAGGAGAACAAGGAAGAATGATTGTTTAAATGTTTATTGCAACCTGTTTTAGTATGATGTTGTCCTTCTCTCTTCTCTTACACAGAAGAAGGAAAATGTTTATTTCCTAGTGTATTCTCATCAGCAAATAATGGAAAAAAATAAATGTTCATTAACAGAGTTTTATTTAACATATTCATGTTTATATGTTTATATATTTATAAATAAACGTGTTTATATATTTATATATAATATATATTATATTCATATATATATTTATAGATATATAAAATACATATTTATCATATTCATGTATATGACATCCCAGGAAATATTTCTAACTGAATAGTATTTTTCTTTCAATGTATGTCCTCAGGGATCATCTGTCAGATTGACTACTCACTTTGGCCTACTTTTAATGCAGAACTATCTAATTTCATTGCCTGTAATAGTATTTTCTGTTCACATGAACTCTTCTCTTGCTGTTAGAGATCATATAGGTAATTTCTAGATTGGGAATCTGAAATGTGAAAACGATCAAAAGTCCAAAGTAGATACTTTGAAGTAATGGATGCTGAAATTTAGTAAGTAAAACTTGGAGACAAATATTTTTAAGTAGTTAATTGGAAAAAAAATTATTCCAAAGATAGAGGACATATTACTTCAGGTAGTTGAAACAATATTTCATTGCTTCTACCTTAAATTTGTATTTTTGGTATTTCCTGTGAATTCATTTGAATTTCTTTGATGTATTTGCAAATTTTGTTTGATAAAACACTCATGTTAAGGTGTACATGTTACAATGACAACACTGTTTTCAGTCAATCTAGATGATCTGCACTGTACCTAGGCACCATCTTGTGAAGTTTTAGATCTCTCAGTAGCTTCAGAAAATCTTAGCAATAATAAACTTTTCCAAATCAATTCTAGCATATGAAATGGCTTTACTGCCCTTCTGCCTCCATTAGAGTTGTCTTAAAATAATTAAAATAATTATAAAAAAATAATTAAAATAATACATGTGAAAGCTATGATGAAAGTGTTTTGCTAAAAACAAAGTGTTTTTTATTTTATGCTTGTGTTTTTCATTTTATTTTATTTAACTTGAAAGTCTGCAGACTAGCTAGTCCTTCAGCTTGAAATTTTAGTAATTTTTCCTAAATTAAGGAAAATCCATTGCAGAAAGTTTTGATTATTTTAATTGCAAGATTCCCATGTAAGTGCAAAAGGGAAAATTCAATGCACTAGGGACTCTACATAGATAAAAATAAAATATAAAATTTATGTAAGTGCATATGTCATGCATATTTGTAACTAGATAGTATTTCCCCTCCCTCTCCCCCCCAAATATATATATTCAACATCCATAATATATGGGATTGTATAAATAAATATATATGCATATACATACATGCATACGCACATACATTATACATGCATTCAATAGATTCTTTTAAAATTGATGAATAGAAAGCATGAGATGCAAGCTTGCTTTAATTAAACTTGCTGTTTTCTGCTTTTGGCTAAAAATGAAGATGTTATATTGAAAACAGTTAGGTGTGTGCAGAGCCATAGAAATTCAGTAAGTCGTAGTTCACTTGGGAGGTGTGGAAGGCAGGGAAAATGAAAACCATGGCGTCCTTTCCTAGTTCCAACAGCAATGCTGGTTTAAAGAGCTCCTTCCTTTCCTTGTCTCAGGGCGTTTATTTCTTCTCCTGTGTCACAGTTCAGTTCCTATGCCACCTACTTTTTACTTAACTGAGGCAAAGCCATTGTCCAAGAAATGAGGCAAATCATGAGTACCACTGTGCTACTTACACCTGACTGTCTTTCTGTAAGCATCAGGGAGATGTGCTGTCTCCAGAAATTTCAGGATTTCGAATCACCATAAATGTCTGACCAACAAGCAAGAATAAAAACTAAGGAAAATACAGCTATTGACCATGTTTTGGACTCATGGAAAAGTCCATGTATATTCAAAGGAATACCAATTACAGTCTACACTTTAATATCTTGCATTTTAGCATATCTCCCCGAATATGAATAATTAGAGCACAGTGGCTTTTTAAGCCTGTGGTACTGTGACTGGCTCTGCTTGGCATCAGAACTTCACCTGTACTCTGCCTTTTTTTTTTTTTTTCTTAATTATATTAAATTATTTATTTTCTGAAAATCTTTCATCCCCTGTCAATATTTGGTGCTTTTACCCTGAGAAAGTGGTAATCTAGGCATGTCCAACTATGCCCAACATACTGAATGCTTCTTTAGTCTAGAGAACACATATAATAGAAAGGAAGGAGAACATATTTAGAGTGTTTTCTCTTAGCTTAGCTAGTAGACTTGAATGCACAGTTGATAAAACAGATTAGCAAACTGTGTTTACTACAGTGTTTACACAACCAATGTGAGCTGTTGACATTTAACTACATAGGCATTTAAACTTTGCCTAAAAAAATGGACAACTCACAGACTACATTTGCAACAACTGTTTTTGGCTGAGAGCTGTTGTAGTTAATATGAAATGACTATAGCAATTCTATTCAGTTCTGGATTCTGAATCAAAAGTAATTCTTATTCTTCATGGTTACTTTACACTAGGAAAAATATATTTCTCTGTTTGCATAGAAAAAAAAAAAAAGTTGGAAAAAAGAAAGGAGATGGAAAGCATTCAAAAATAAGTGTAATTTTCCTCCAGTTTGTTACACCTTTACAGCCTAAGGGGGCAGGCTTGAGGAACTGAGCATCTCAACCCCTTTAGCATGCTTGTGATTTGCACTTCTCAGCTGTCATTCTTCAACTCATGTTAGAACCATACAGACAGTTACTGTTCTTCTGAGCCACCTGAGAATAACACCTTGATGATAAACCTGCAATTTAAAAGAGATCTATATTTTTTTTTTCATCAGCATATAAGTCTATGTGTTTGTACTGCATATCGTCATTTGGTTTAGTCCACAATTTGCTAGGAGTTGGTCAAATCCATTGATTTGAAACCTCAAAATATACTCACAAGTCCTAACTGCATAATAAGAAACAGTTTTTCCACCAATATTTCCTTCCTGTCTTTGATATAATTCTTTAAGTAGTAATATTCCTGAGATTTTTTTCCTAACATGACAGACATTCAAATTAAAAAGTAGAGCCTGTTCTGGTGGTGGATCAACCTATGGACTGTATGTCATTGCAACTCCCATTATCTTAAACATCTTCACTATGGAGAGCTGCTAAATTTTTCAGAGCTTCTTTTTATTTCACTGTTCTCTTCAAACTAGCATCATATCCTTAAACGATCTTTCCTGGATCATTTGTTCTACTTTTAGAAAAATGCTGCCACAAAGAGAATGCTTTCTAAAAAGCTACTGATGGAAGTTTCTGTTTTGTTTTTCCTCAAATATCTTTTCTGGCAAATATGGGAAAAAAAAAAAAGTTCATATTCTATTTTTACAGATATTATTGTGTCTGTTCAATTTACAAACCACAAAGGGCAGACATCAAAGGCTACACCCAGTACAGAAGAAAAACACTAATCAGAACAGGTTTTGTTTCATTCTCATATAGTTTTCTCTATTTACATATTGGTAAGAGGCCTCTGCTTGAGTGTATCTTTCTGATTTGATCTTAAAATCTGTTTCTCTAAAAACAAAATAAGACTCTTATTTGGTTTACTTTTTAAATTTTTCTCTTATTTACTCTTCTCTAAAATGCTATCAGTAGTGTAATAGAGTGATAAAACTGTGTTGTTTTAAATGTAAATGCTTACATGACAAGCTTCTTGTGAAATATCCAGTCAATACATCTTACCTTGTTAGACTTCTACACAGCTGATTTCTGCAACTATGATGATTAACACAGTTCCCTCTTATAGCCAATGGAGTGAAGCAAACTTTTCTTTTGTGCAATTATAATTGTTCTGTCTCTGTTAGGATGGAATAAATTGACAGAAGAGTAAGATCAATTTTACTTCAATATGTATTTTCTCTGATACAGTCTTGCTTCTTACTGCTTTACCTCTTTGATTATTACATTTTCCAGAAAAATTTGATTTTGTTAAAAATGTTACAATGTTTTTCAATCATAGCTCAGGAGCCAATTAAATCTGACACAAAGTAGGTGATTATCATCACCTCTATTGTCCACCAAGAGCTAGTACAGAGGTGCATGTCTTTATGCTAATCACATATTTATGTGAAGAGTATTCCTTGTTTTTGATGTTGAAATAAATAATATGTTTCAATGGATGGGCACAATTTATACTGAATTATAGATGGCTGTAAACTAGAGAGAGAAGTTTTACTTCTGACTCTAGGAACTGTCAATAGGCAAGTACAGTGAAGACACTGAAGCGTTCACACAGGTGATATTGTTCCTTGTTTAGTGGAAAGACAGCCACCAGCTGACCTCCAGGAAAAAAAAATATGTTTAAGAGTTTAATTTGATTAGCTTTTGAGAGAATGAATTGAATGCGAATGGGATCACTAGGGGGAAATAAGATTATTCCTAGAAAGCTATCATGGTTTACTAGAGAAAAAAAAAATGTTGCTGGATAGTGTCTGAGAGATGATTCAGTTAAATACACAGCCAGCTGTGTTTAAAAGAAGGAAAATAAACTACAAAATGCTGTTTTTATGTGAGCAGGTTGAATATGATGTCATTTCTCATATTCATACGTGTCTTATATAAACATCTGTAACTGCCGTTATTCTTTGTTTATTACCAAAACAAAACAAATTCCCAAAGTTATCTTCTAATGCAAAGGGATAAATAACTAATCTCTCTTTTGAGGCAAGAGCATGTCTGAGTAGCTAAGAGACTATAGGGCTTGTTCTCACAGTTAAAGACATGTTAATGTTACTGCTTCCTTAACAACACCAGGTTAAGCTTTAAATACTGTTTTAGATAAGTCATACCATACAACTGTGACAGAACCAGAAAGGAAGAAGTCAGGCCCCCTGGGGACTCCAAAACAATAAACAAAAGTGAGGAACTGGTTCATAAAGTTAAATTATTTTTAAGTGTGTATGTAATTAGTTAGAATAATTGAATTCTAACTAATTGGAGAATTGAATAATCGATTCAATTACAGAATTTTGTTGTTTCATTTCATCAAAGCCCTAAAGTTAGCCAGCATGGTGAAATACTCATTGGGCAGGTACAACAGCCGTGATCCCACTAAATGCCACAGACACTGTGCTGGCAATTTGATCAATAAGGCAATTTGATCAATAAGGAGGAACGCACTTGAAGTGTGAGGGTGGGTGGAGCTTTACAGCAGACCATGGAGAGATGTGCTTGAAGCTAAACATTAGTAGCTTTGGAGCCACTAATAGGTGTTAGGGGAGAGGAACTGAGAGACAGAACTTGCAGTTCCTCTTCTTGACACTTTGGTGCTGTTATTTGAGAAACAAAATTTGCCTTCTGATGATGTGATATATTGCATTCAGGTTCAAGACACAGACATATCAAGCTACATTCCAGTGAGCATAAAAAAGGACTGATTCCAACAGTACACATGGCAACTAATCATTATAGTTTTAGGATCTATTTGATATTAGGCCAAGTCAGGCTTTCAATGAATTTTTGTATTTTTCTCTGTTGCCTATCTAATGAATCAGGCAGGAGATATGAATTTTAAATATAATAATCACAAGCCTACAATATTTGTTAAATGATACAAAATATATGCATGGCAGACGTAAATGTTCAGAATTGCATACAACGACTTGAATGCGTACATTTGTACAAAACTTTAAGAAAGGAAAATTTCAGCGAGGGAATACAATGATAAGGTACTGGAAAATAACAAAGGTTTCTAAGAATGCTGTTGTTGATACTTCTGGTAGCCATGCTGCAGAAAATTGATCAAAAGGATAAAGGACAAAGTCTCTGCACTACATAAATTATGCAAAAAATGTGAACGAATAATTTGCTTCATTAGAGACAAAGAAAAATCAAGATCCTCATGAAAATATGATTCAATATTACAAGTGATATTACCATAATATTACCAATAATTCATATTTTGAATGTGGATGTTAACAGTCATTTTGTTCTGTTCTTTTACAACTCAGCATAAGCCAATCCAGCTGTGGCCAAACAATCCTCTCTCTGCCCTTGGCTGCATGTTCCCTATTCTCTCCTCGTGTTGGCTAAGGCTGCTGTAGAGCCACTTGGCTTTCCTCTTTCTTGGTGACTGGCAGTGGGGCTTTGCTGGTGTGAAGGTTTTTTAAACTCTGAGTGAACAGAAATGGTATAGCTATTACTAATCCTTGAACCTGGAAAGAAACTGTATGCACAGTGTTATAATCCAAAACTTATTATTGCACTATAAACTAAAGCTAACCTAAGCCAAACCTAGGTAATTGCTATCATAGCAAAAAAAAAGCTAAAATGAGCTTAGGACATAGGCAAACCCATATAAATCTGGATCTCCTACAATGTCAGGTTAGCACAAAGCCTGTGACCTTCTACTTGTAATGGAAAAATACCATGCTTACTGGACTAAACCAGCTCTACCTCTTTCAATGTTCCTCCCACCAAGTCTGTCCAGCTCAGGAAGCTCCTGTCCAGTCTGAGCTCTGCATAGCATGCAATGCATTTCTGCAGCTCTTTAGCTCCAAGAAAACATTGTTCATGACCTCAGAGTGACTGGAAGATTGGCTACTACTCTGGGATATACTGCCTGAATTGCCTATAGGTCCTGGAGCTCAGAGAGTACCTAAAGGAGTTGTGTCAGAACTCACATGAGCTTGTGAACAAATGTCATGCATACAATTTACTGTCTGTCTGAATTCTGCTGAACTTTATTTCTGCTGATGCAGTTCTACCAGTCAGGGACTTTTGCAATTGGAGATCGCCAAGTCCTGCCATAGCAATGGATGTTATGGATCCTAATAAGCAGATGTTGGAACACTACATAAAGTTTTTGGTTTATGGGGAAAAGTAGAGCTATGAAATCTACTGTGAATGCAGGAAACAGTTACATTCTAAATCATGATTTTTCTTTGCCAACCTGTTTTTTTGTTTTTGTTTGTTTGCTTTTTGAAAAAGCTGAAGTATCTCAGGCCTCTTGACCCAGTGGCTGTTTCTTTTTTTTTTCTTTTTTTTTTTTTTTTTTCCCTGATAAGGTCATATCCAGCAATACCTTATGTTCATAGCAGTAATCTTCCTTTGATTCTGTGTTTTCTTTTTTGAAAGAACATGTGGTAGGAATTTCTTCTTAAGTTAGGAATAGTAATCTACATTATATTCAAAGACCACAACAAAATACTTGAATGCTTCTATTTTTCCTGTTGTATTTACACAACGTAGGAAGAATTACCTTTTTTAATGTGCTATAAATCTGAGGTTTGGGGCTCACATTTGTAGTTAGGTCTCTTAGGGACTGCAACCCATATAAAAACACATTGATTTCAAGAGATTTACATCTGGCACCTGCAAGTCAAAGAGTAAGCCTGCTGTTAATGACTATCTAATGTTATAACTGTTTTCATTTTGGTTTAGGAAGATTAAGAACAGAAGGAAGATATTATACTGGGTTTTGAGGACACAAAATTCACATAAAGATTAGAACTTGTAACAGCCTCTGCATGTCATTGTGAGCAATTAATTAAATATTCATTTTATGAAGGAAATAAATGACTAATAGAGGAAGCATCACTCTGAGTGAAGTGAAAATTGTTTGTTTACCATGCAGTAATCTGACATACCTTGTTCAAGTGGTAGGTAACCTATTTGCCAGTAGTTACTCATATGACTGCTTCTCCCTTTGCTGAAAAAAAAGAAACAAAAAGTGCAAATTATAATGAATCTTCTATATTTCCCTTCATGGTGAATCTTAAAAAAAATAAAAATAAAAATAAAAAAATAGTATGATGCATAACTTGTAGACAACTATGACATTTAAAGTAGTTATTTAAATTTGAGAAAGATGGAAAAAAAAATTGGCTTTGTTGTCTGTAATGTCATCAGTATCGAGCTCTGCTGGATTTCTGAGAGAAATTAGATGGTCAGATAGCAAAAAACATACTATTGTTTGTACGAGGGTGTTATCCTGGGGACATCCAAGAACAGAGCTCCACTGTGCTAAGCGGTATAAAATGGAGTAACTGACATCATCTGCCCCAACAGGGACACCAGCAGTTCCTCAACAATGGGAATTCAGTGGGGACAGCTAAAACTGTACAGGGCAAGGGCACTAGATCAGACCTTAGAGCTTGCTCCAGGCTGGAGAATATGTCCTCCTGGTAAAAGGAGGCACTAGGCAAAACTACTAGCTCAAGATCAAGAGCTGCATCTATGGACAACATGGATACCTAAGGGAAAAATCTGAATCTTGATCTATAGCTGTAAATGTTACGTCACATTTTTGAAGCAAGATTCAGGGTCAAAATTGATACCAAGTTGTATGGCAGTGACAGCAGAACATGAAGTAGAGATTCTTGGTTTATGAAATAATATTATGATTAAATATTTAAAAGATGATGGAGGAAAAAAAATACTTTAAATCCCACTAAAATTATTTTTAATATGGGAATAAGAGAACAAAGTCGGTCCATGACAATATACTTCCCTGGGCTAAGGAGAGAATGCCATTTCCTCAGGAGTGCTTTGAAGAAGCCCAGTTTTTATGAATCACAATAACATTACCTTGCCAAGTTCTGTCCTTGTGCACTTCAGTTATAAGACACAGTTAACAGCCCTTTCAGCTATCTGAAAGTTAGGAACATCTGCTGTAGCACTGTGCCAATGTTGCCAGGGACTGGCTCTCAAACCGAATTTTTATTTGTCACTACCTTACCAAACCCATTTTGCTCAGCAGCATTATGTGGAAAAAGGGAATTGCATTAGGTCTTTCTGTAATAGATAAATCTTCTATTATTTTTTATTTTTTATTTTTTGGGGTGGGGGGAGAGAGAGGAAAAAAAAATCCCCTAAGTTAATATTATTATAAAAACAGTTATATGCTTTTTTACAAACAGTTCCAATAGTACGTTGCAGTAGGTTGTAGATAGTAAAAAGGTGTGCTGCCTGTTACTTATTCTGTGGTAGAAATGTTTCCTGGTTTCCCGGTTTCCTGGTACAAATATTTACAAGCTGAAAAATGACTAATTACAAATTTCCCCCTCCACACACAGCCTATTTTCCCAAATACATTCAAGTTAGGCCAATATAATTTTAATTAATATTTGGAAAATTAAAGAAATTTAAAGGAGCCAAAAAGTGCCCTCAGAACATTTGGCTAAAAATGATAGGGCTGGCATGCTCTTACTAATACTTTCTCAGTAGTTCTTGAGCTTAGTGTCTAATTGCAACCAAATTTACCAAAGGACAGAGGTATCAAAAGGATCCTACAAGCTTTGTAAAACAAAAAAACAAACAAAAAAAAAAGTTAGGGAGATGAAAGACTTCTTTTTCCTTCCTTTTTAGTAACTTTTTTTTAAGGAAACCCAAGGAAGATTTTACTGAGCTTTGCACAGCAAACAGTAGAGATAATTGTAACACACTAGCATTCATAGAGCAACCAGCCTAACTGCATGTGTTTCACCAGTGATAGTATGTGGTAATTCAAAACATAAAGAAACACAGAGAAGGATTTGGGAGTCCTGAAGAATGGCTCATGTGCAGAGCTGGTTACGTATTGTGGTGGTGAGAACAATGATGCATACATATTAAATCAGATAGGAATAAGGCTTTCTAGGCCATTAATTTACCCACTGGAGCAGAGGTCAGTTTATGAATTCTTGTTTCCAACTTCAGTGCCTTATTTCTACAATAATGAGAGAATTTACTACTACTACTATTGCTGCCATGACTACTAAATAAATAGAAATTAAAGACTCCCAACAAGTAATAAGTGGACCTTACTCTTTTAATTACTTGTATTCTCTATGTTGTCAGTTATTTAAATCTATACTGGAATTAACTATTAATTATTGTCTATAACTGTCAAATACTTATATTTAAAGCAGAAGCCTACATTTCAAAGATATCTTCTTCATGTTTTATATTTAAAAGGCAGTAACTTTTAACAAAGATAACAAGAGAAAAAATTCTACTCCCCCCCCCCCCCCCAAGACCAGGATAAACATTGACCCATAACTTATTTATTTTAAATGGCTTTGTGTTTTTTTTTGGCTGAATAACACTGAACTCATAATGTATGATCTCAGTTGTTTGTATCCAAAAGGCTTTATGCAGAAGATGATTTCCTTTATTTATTTATTTTTATGAGCAAACAGCTTAGAGTAAATTTCCTCTAAGCTTTTTCTTCTAGAATTTCTCATTGCATAACATATCTGTCTTTCATACTACTTCTATTTGTTCTTCTAACTTGGAATTCTTTTGAGTAAATAGTTCGTATAGAGATGTGTCACTTAGAGATTTGGATGCATTATTTTCTGTAAATGTTCTGCATATTGTTCCTACATGTCTTTTTCTTGTGCAGTAGAAAAACATTCAGCTTGCATTTCAGAAATATTTGCTGTAAATCAGATTCAGAGCTTTCTCAGATGATTGTTACTTTTTTCCTTTTTTTTTTTTTTTTTTTTCACCTGTTTGCTTGTTTTTAAGTACACAGCCTGGCAAAGGCCAGAGAGTTAGAAGCAAAAAAGCAAACACTTTTTTTTTTTTTTTTTTTTCCTTCAGATAAGTAAGATACAAATACTCTTGAATATCCTGGAAAAGAAACTGAGGGGTCAGAAGTCAGTACTTCAATATTATATTTTTAGGATAAGATAGGAGGAATACTATTCTTTAATATTAAGGCCTTCATTCTTAACAATGTTTTCAAAGATCTGTTATTTGAAGGATGTGTTCTGAAAAATCTCTGCTGGTTTCAGCCACAATAGGATTGCACACAGAAAAAACAAAACAAAACAACAATAACAAAAAAAAAACACTTTATCCCAGACTCTCCTCTCCTCTCCCCTCCCCTCCCCTCCCCCTTTACATTTTCAGTCACTAGTTTATATGCTTTATTTGTTATGATATGGTCGGTTTTGCATTATTAGTTAGAGTCTGTATTTCTTAACAATAACTTTTTACAAACAGGCTTATACATATCACAGGCAGTTCTTGCTCATAGAGAATCTTCTATTTCTTCAAACTCAAAGTTAACATTTAGATTTAATTGCTATTATATAATGATCTATTGTATCCACCTAGATGATAATGAAGAAGTGATGGCTTTCATAAATGTTGTATTTGAGACAGAACAATTTAACTACGTGGAGTCTCCTTTCATGACATTTGCATAAAATGATGGCATTAAGCTCCCAGTGGTGTTCTTCCCATCATACACGAGATCAAAGAGCTATTATGCTCTAAGCCTGTCTGCAGCTGTTAAATGCTTTCTTTTCAAGGGCTGTTTTTATTCTCTCCATTTTTCAAGAGTATGTGCCATAAGTATCAGAGTTTCCACTGCACTTTAGCTGCAATTTCAACAAAACAATGTTGTGGTCAGGCAACTGCCATGTTGTTTAATTTCTTAGGATTCAGCAGCTGAGATATAAAACACACAGCATACCATGGTCATGAAAAACATCATACTTTGTTCGCAGGCACTCTTCAGGGAGCTGCTGACTGTGTCCTGCTGACTCACTGGGAGAGTGCCTTTCTCAGCAGGCTGCATATAGGAATAATGACCTGGGAAGTTGGAACAGGGAGGAAACTAGACACAAAGGGGTGGGTGGGTGTGAATTTAAGGATGACAGCGAGGGTGAGGGAAAGGCATAGGGATGAGACTTAAATTTAAGATTTCTTCAGCCTCAACATTATTTTATCAGAAACTGAACTCTTGATGGAAGATAGTTATGCACTGAAACACTGCATGCACTTAAAGAGTTCTAGAGTATGCATGGTGAGGACTTTGGTGGTTTACAACAGACCTTGTTGGAAATGTGAGATCCTGGTAGGATATTTTTTCGATATTTGCCATTGCTGATCCTCACATGTCATTTAGCTTTGGAAATCACAGAATTGTTGAAGATTGCTCAGGGCTGTGTCACATTGGGTTTTCACTACATCCAAAGCAGAAAAGTATTAGATTGTGCTCAGGTGGAATTTCATGTTTCAGTTTGTGCCCAGTGATGCTTGTTCCACCAGTGGGCACTACTGAAAGAAGTCTGTCTTCCTCTTCTTTTCCTCCCATCACATGTTTCTCCTCATGGATAAGATTCCCCTGAGCACTTCTCTTCTCTAAGCTGAACAGCCACAGGTCTCTCAGCCTTTCCTCATGTCAGATGCTGCAGTTCCATAACCATTTTTTTATTGCCCTGCACTTGACACACTCCGGTAAGTCCATGTCTGCCTTGCACTGGGAAGCCCAGGAATGGATCCAGTACTTATCTTAATATGTATGTCTCACTAACACATTCTAATAAGGTTTTGTGACAGAATTTAAGACTGCAAGCACAATAAGGGCTAAATCCATGGACAAATATGGTCAAGAAGGGATTGGATGCTGACGTTACATCTGATAATGTTGCAATAAGCAGTATTTTTTATATTTCTTGGTATTTATAATATTGGAATTTGTGCAAGGTGTTCCTCTCTCAATTTTCAAAAATCACATCTCATCACATAAATAAGTATGCCTTTTATTTCCTAGAAGACAAACACTATTTTTTTTTTTACACCACAAGTACCAAGACAGAAGAAAATGAAAATAAGTTTCTTGTTTTTTTTTTTTGTTAACAGATATTTACTAGAAATTAAGCTAGCATCATCCACATAAATAGATGAAGTTAAATCACTTTATCATTACTTAGATATGAAACAATAGCAAATAGCTTTTTTCTTTTTTTCCCTTAATT